CTGCCCCCTGCCCCGCGCCGCTCTCGCGAGACTTGCCGCGAGACCGGAGAGCGGCGGGCAAACATGGCGGCGGCAGGACCGGCCTCAACTCGCGAGAGTTTAGCCTCTCGCCACGCCAGCACTGATTGCTGGCAACATGGCGGCGGCGCGGCGCCATCTCGCGAGAGTTCCCACAGTTCCCCGCACACACGCGGCCGCCGCGCCAGCACTTAGTACTGGCATACAGGGCGGCCGCCCGGGCTTCAGTCAGCCAGCGTTATGGGTCACCCTGCGCGCCGGCCAAGGCAGCGGCGCTGGTAGCCAGTTCCCGCTGTGGGGCTGGTGGTCCCTCCCTATGGCTGCCCCACGTCATGGGCCTGGCAGGAGCTCTGAGGCAGGTGTCCCTCTGCCTTGGTGCCTCAGGGCTGCCAGGAGCCCTGGGGGCTCAAACAGGGGCCACCCCGCATCGTTGTGGAGGCCCTGAGCTGATGGAATGGTGGGAGGAATCCCTCCCCAGTCTTGGGAATCCTTTCATGCCGCCATGTAGCACAAAAGCCAGGTGCTGCTGGCTGAGGTGGGGGCTCCCCAGCCCCCCCCTCCCCCCATCCCTTCGGTGTTCCACTTCCTTGGCGTGGCCATGGCTCTCGCAGGAACAGCCCGGACAGAGAGCCAGGCCAGTCCCTTCTCTGCCATGGCAGACAAGCACTGAGGCTTCTCTTTGTCCACCAGGCCCTCGCCCTGGCCCTGCTGCCAGCCCTCCCAGCGCAGAGACCCCCTGGAAGGGGGGACACACTTCCCTGTGCTTGCCCCTACGTGGTGGCTGTCCCATGCCATGGAGGACATGTTCCCCAGGCATGGGATGGGCTCGGGAGCTGGCACAGGGCTGAGGGGCCGCCGGCAGGCTCAGCCTGTGTCGGGCGAGGCTGCCGCGCCTGCCGCGCCTGCCCCTTTCAGCTCGGCCCCACCTTAGCTGGTTAAACAGGTTTGAAGTCCAGACGGCAGAGAGACCGTGGAAGCAGCATTTCGCAGACTCCCAGGACAGCCACCGCTGCTGCGCAGCCCTCAGCCCTATGGCCCCCCACTTCTCTCCAAGTAAGTCTTGCAGCAAGGGGAGCCCGGTGCCAGCTTCCTCCCGTGTCCCGTGGGGTGATGAGTGAATGGGGCTGGGAGCGGGGAGATGGAGGGGTGCAAGACACAGGAAACTGCTTTAGCCGTACTCCCTTGTGTGGACCTCAGGTGAAGGCCTGTGCCACTCTGTGCCTCAGTTTCCCCATGCCTGTGGCCAGGCCAGGGCTCTTTCTGGAGGTGCAGGGATGAATGTGCCCAGAAGGAAGAGAGAAAGATTTTCATTGCAGGAGGCTCCCATGCCCACAGCCGGCAACACTCGGGACAGGTTAAGAGGCAGGGATCCCCTGCTAAGATGGAAAAATGTGAGATCTCTGCCTGGATCTCATGCTCCCCCATGGCAAGTGGCACCCGGCAGCCTCCTGTGCCCACCCCAGATGAGTCTCAGCCACAAGAGGCAGCAAATCTGGCTCATCCTGGCTTGAGATGTGGTTCCTAGATGCGGCCTAGCCAGCCCTCGCTGGCCCTCACCCAGTATCGGGGATTGGCTGATGCTGGCACGGGCCAGTTGCATCGGCCAGTGTCCAGCTTCCCCGAGTCGCAAGGCTCGTGCCCAGCCAGAAACCCCAGGACATTTGGCCAGGTGGGGAAGCAATTCTGTGGTGGGTTGACCCTGGCTGGACACCAGGTGCCCACCAAAGCTGCTCTTATCACTCCCCCCACCAAGGTGAACCAGGGAGAGAAAATATAACAAAAGACTCATGGGTTGAGATAAGGACAGTGGGAGATCACTCACCAATTACCATCACGGGCAAAACAGACTCGACATGGCGAAATTAGTTTAATTTATTACCAATCCGATCAGAGTAGGGGAATGAGAAGTAAAACCAAATCTTAAAACAACTTCCTCCCACCCCTCCCTTCTTCCTGGGCTCAACTTCATTCCTAGTTTTGTCTGCCTACCCCCCCAGCAGCACAGGGTGACGGGAAATGGGGATTACAGTCAGTAATCCCCAGACACATTGTCTCTGCCACTCCTTCCTCCTCAGGGGCAGGACTCCTCACATTCTTCCCCTGCTCCAGCATAGGGTCCCTCCCACAGCAGACAGTCCTCCACAAACTTCTCCACTGTGAGTTCTTCACAAGGGCTGCAGTTCTTCATGAACTGCTCCAGCATGGGTCCCTTCCACGGGCTGCAGTCCTTCAGGAGCACGCTGCTCCAGCGTGGGCCCCCCATGGGGTCACAAGTCCTGCCAGCAAACCTGCTCCAGCGTGGGCTCCTCTCTCCACGGGGCCACAGGTCCTGCCAGGAGCCTGCTCCAGCAGAGGCTTTCCACAGGGTCACAGCCTCCTTTGGGCATCCCCCTGCTCCGGCGTGGGGTCCTCCACGGGCTGCAGGTGGATATATGCTCCACTGTGGACCTCCACGGGCTGCAGGGGGACAGCCTGCCTCACCATGGTCTTCCCCACAGGCTGCAGGGGAATCTCTGCTCTGGTGCCTGAGCACCTCCTCCCCCTCCTTCTTCACTGACCTGGGGGGCTGCAGGGTTGTTTCTCTCACATGTCCTCATTCCACTCCCTAGCTGCGGTTTCTGTTGCACAGCAACTTTTTTTTCCTTCTTAGATACATTCTCCCAGAGGTGGTACCACCATTGCTGATGGAGTCAGCCTTGACCAGCAGCAGGTCCATCTTGGAGCCAGCTGGCATTGGCTCTGTCGGACATAGGGAAACTTCTAGCAGCTTCTCACAGAAGCCACCCCTGTAGCCCCCCCGCTACCAAAACCTTGCCACACAAACCTAATACAAATTCCCAGGCTGCCCCTGTTTTGCAGCCAGACCTGCACACGCAGGGATCACCAGGCGCCCAGCTCTGGGCAATGGTGCCCACATGCATTGTACCACATGCCCTGATCCTGCTGCCGTGGGCTGCGAGCACTTGTAGGGTGTGAGAGCATGGAGATGCTGGTCTCTGCTTTCTCCTAATAGTGGAAGGGCAGGCAGGTGATGGGGACTGCAGGGGTGGTGGCTGCCAATTCACACACCACATTGTAACTGGAGCTGTGTGCATGACCCCAAACCCCTCATTTCTGCTGGTTTTTTGTCTGTCTACTTTCTGCTGGCACAGGGTGAAAGCAAAAGGGACTGGAAACTAGTCCCCTCTCGACACCCCAAAACGCAGGAGAGTTTCTTACCAGTCCCCAGCTGCATCCCCAGTGGTGCTGAGCCGGTCACTCTCATGGCTGCTGCTGACCCCATCCTGCCCCCTGAGGAGGTGGCTTTGCTGGAGCTGGGGAAGGTGGCCCTGGCCGCCCCCCTGGACAAGGTTCCACCAGCCCCAGATGAACACCTGGGGCACCCTGATGCCACCCTGCCATGGGACCAGTGCCAGCACAGCACCCAGGGCCAGCTGGAGCCTGTGGAGACGAAGAGGCGCTCAAGTCCCGAAGGGGGCCGCGAAGACCCTGAGGAGGCTGCTCTCACCTGCCCCCCAGCTGAGGCCGAAGACGAGGAAGGCCTTGGGCTGCCCGTGGTGGCGGCCCACGTCTTTGTGCCCATTGACCTGCAGTGCATTGAGCGGACACCCGGCAAGCAGAAGAAGCAACCTGACCCATGCCCCCAGGATGAGGGCAAGGGGGGCTACATCCTCCACAGCGACAGACCCAACAGCCTCTGCCAGAAGCAGGTCTTCCTTCCCATCAGCCCCTCACGCTACAGGGACCCGCTGGGCTTTGAGGGGCGAGTGGGCAAGCCACTGACCGAGGGGCCACGGTGCCCGTGCGCCAGGGACTGTGGTGCCGGCAACCTCAAGGCTGTGGCCTCAGTGGCAGTGGCCCTGCTCCTCTGCCCCTGCCTCGTTTACGGGGCCTACGTCTTCCTGCCTTTTGATGCCCCGCTGCTGCCCACCGTCAGCGCCCGCCTGGTCTACACACTCCGCTGCGCCGCCTTTGCCACGTTCCCCATCATTCTGGGTGAGCCATGGGGTTGGTGTACAAAGCCCTTTGCCCCTACCACTAGGCTGCATTGGCCCTGGGGGAGCGGGGGCTGTGGGGAGCGCTGTGTAGAGCTGATGCTAAGCTCTTTGCAGCTCCATTGCTCCCACCAGGAGCAGCAGACTGGGGTTTCCTACCCTCTTCCCATCCCGTTGCATCTCCCTCTGGTCCTTCCCCAGCCCTTGGGCCCCAATGCAGTTTCACCGGGCGCCTGCTCAGTCCCTCTCTCTGCCCCCCAGGGATGATCGTCAGTGGCATCTCCCGCCTCTGCTCCTCACAACTGGAGCCCTTTGGGGAGCTACAGCAGGAGGTGGAGCTCCACCGCACCTACGTCTCCCAGTCTGTCCATCTCTTCATCCTCTACTTCTTCAACATGGCTGTGCTGGCCACCTACCTCCCACAGGAGGTCCTCAAGCTCATCCCCCTGCTTACGGGGCTTTTTGCCATCTCCCGGTAAGTGGCTCCTTTACCCTACCTGGGCTGTGGCAGTGCCCAGGGTGCAAACGGGGTCTGTCAATGCTGCCAAACACCATGCCTTGGTGCAAACTCCTGCTCCGGCAGTGCCTCACCTAGCCAACAACAGCCAGGAAAGCTGGCGCAGGGGAAGGGTTGCTCCATCCCTCCTCCCACTTCCTGCAGCGGCTGTGCCTGGCAAACCTTTGCTGGGATCAGAACCCCTGGGTGCCGGCCCAAAGGCATCGCCCTCACTGAGCCCTCACATCTCTGCCCTCTCCAGGTTGATTTACTGGCTGTCATACGCCATTGGGCGCTCCTTCCGTGCCTTTGGCTTCTGCATGACCTTCCTGCCCCTCCTAGCCATGCTACTCTGGAACCTTTACAGCATGTTTGTCCTGGAGCCTGAAAAACTCCTTGCTGTGGCAGCACCAAAGCCTGAGGACCGCTCCAAGGACAGTGGAGCCAAACTCCGGTACTGGGGGTGAGGGAGGCCCTGGGGAGATGAGGTGCATGGACCCTGCAGTGCAGAGGGGTTGAGCCCTCCTCACTGCCCTGCCTTGTGAGCCCTGAAGGTGGAAGGGTGTAGGCAGATCTGGCTGGGCCCCTGCTCCCTGCCCTTACCTGGCAAGGTTTTGCTGGGTGCCTGGGGTTGATAGAGCTGAGCTGTAAAACCCTCTGCACTGGGAGTTTCCTGCAGGATGGTGAAGAGGGCCCAGAGCAAGGCCCAGTGAGTCCTGTTCCATGAGGATGGGCTGGGATGGGATTTGCCTAATCTGCTGGAGCTGGCTTTCCCCAATAAAGCCCTTCACCAAGTGGCTCTGTGGCTGGTTTGGGAAGGGTGGGTTAAATTCTCCTAGGAATCGCTGCTGCCAGGATTTGTAGCTCTGCCCATGGGATGCCATCATCCAGCCCCAAAATGATGTTTCCAAGAGGGGAAAAAATGATGTTTCCCCAAACTGCCCATCTCCCAGTGCTGCAACAGCACGCCAGCCCTACACCCTTCTCCTGGATCCCTGCATGGCAGTGTGGTGTCCCGCCCAGCTTGTCCTTCCTCCTCTTCCTCCTGGTGAAGGTTCAGCACCTGGTTCACAAACCAGTTGGCCCGGTAGGAGGGAGGGAGTCCTGCCTCAAGGAGGGATGTGGGGAGAAGCCGGGGATGGGTGAGATGGCACCAGGCTTGCTGCCACCTAGAGCTGGGGATGGCCAATCCCCTCCTAGGGCCAATCCCCCTCCGAGGATGGGCACTTAGCCTGCACCCCTCAGGGCACTGCACCCCACCCTGGAGTCCTTTGCAGACACAAAGGGACCCCTGGGAGTCCAGCCCCATGCAAGTCTGATTGTCTCAGTTCTATGATTCTCAGGCATAACCCAAACCTGTTAAAAATCCACCAAATAAAGGGAAAGCCCCTCCATCCTCAGATCTGCCAAGTGTTTGTCTTGTCCTGCCTCCCATCCCTGAATGCTGTAATCGTGGGAGCAGTTCACCCACTGCAGCCCAGCAGAGTCAGAGAATGGGAACAGTCCAACTCTTTCAAATGCACTTCTTGGCCGGGATACAGCCCACAGCCTGGGTGCACACTGACCCCACAGCTCACAGGCAAAACCACCCAAGAGCACCAGATGCTGCTGTGGGGCATGAGTCAATCCAGGGGCAGGGAGCCTCCCTCCTCTCAGAGGTGTTTTTGCACCTTGGCTCCTGCTGAGCTCCTGCACCCTTTAATTCCTGTGAGGGCTGAGAGCTGCTCTCCTCATGCTCACCCATAGCGCAGTGTTTCCACATGAAACTGCTCGTAGAAATCCACTTTATTTGGTCAAAGACAAGTCAGTGATGGAGAACATGAAAACCTAGCACATCCCCAAGTGATGTGCTACCTCTGCAAACACCGAGCAGCCACAGACCACGCTTGCCTCACGGCTTCAAGCACCTGGATAGCACCTCCAAGCCAGCCCTGCAGAGCCAATGGCTGCAGTTAACCAAGAGCAAGGCTAGATCAGCCCTTTATGGGCTGACAGGACGCACCGAAGCTCAAGCAGCTGCTGCAGAGCGGCACCGGGTTTCCCTCTTGGACCAGCAGCCCTCACCAAGGCCAGCACAGGAGAAAGTGCCTGTTGGGGTCTGAGGAGTCTGTGAGCCCCAGCTGGGTTGAGGGGGGGGGGTGTTCTGGGATGTCCCCAGCACAGTGAGAAGCAGCAAGGCACCCTGCGCACTGGCAGGAGCAGTACCGGTCCCCCAGCCCTGTTCTCCAGCCCTGCTCCTGGGCTGGAGCCACCCAAGCAACACTGGAGTGCTCTGGAAGCAGCACAGGACAGGGCACAGCCAGTCCCAGCTGTTGCTTGGCTGCAGACATGACAACAGTGGTTTTATCCCTTAGGAGAAAGAGGATCTTTCTGCAGCTCAAGGCAACCCTGACCACCTTCCCCCAGTCGCTTCTCTTAGCTGGATGGATCAGGAAAAAACAGAGGAAGAAGTGTAATCAGATGCAGGATCCGGGCAGTAGGACGGAGTAGGACAGAGGGATACGTGATGTGGGCAACTGCTGCAAATGTTGCCCTGGTCCCCTCCGAGCCTGGACTGCAGGGGCAGAGGGGAGAACAGAGAGGAGATTGCAGGCATTAGAGCCCCTGCAGCAGCTGCCGACATTTTCTGGTGACAAGAAGGATCCTGGGGGGTCTCTCCAGGGACCATCCCACTCAGTTGATGGGCTCGTACTCAGAGTAGCGTTTCCTCTGGGCAAAGAGGACCACAGAGCTGCCCACCAGGAGCATCACCATGGGGGTGCCCAGTGCCACAGCCGTGATGGAGATGACGAGGGGGGAGAAGGTGTCCTTGGGGGGCTGCCCAAAGCCCAGCAGAGCAGACCTGCAGGAGGGAATGTGACAAATCAGCCATGGAGATGAGGATCAGCTGTGTCCCCACGGGTGGAATATCTGGGGCTTTCCACCCCAATAGGGTCAGATCGAGATTTCTTGTCAGGATCCCACATGGGGCAGGACAGGGTTTCCCAGAATGGGGGAGGGGTGAGGGAGTGCATCAATAAACTGCAAAACTCCTTGTTACAGGATCATAGGAAAACATAGACTTTTGAAAGGAGATAGTTATCAAACAGAAAAACCCTCTAACCCAGCAGTTCCCCAAACTGCAAGTTATTAGTGGCTGGGAGAGTATCATTTCATGCACAACAGACCCCACTCACCAGCTAAGGTAGTGCTTCTCCTGGTAAACCTTTCCATCCTCTCCCCCAAAAGAGATATTGATGGCACTGATGGTGTAGGTACTGCCTACACCCTCCCCAAAGTAGGCATGGACGATGCTGGACACAGGCAGGGTCCAGTTGGCTGCTTGCAGGCCGTGAGACCGGCACTGGATGCTGTCCTCACGCCTGGGGGTCTGGGAGCCGTAGGCTGTCGCCTTCCACTGCAGGAAGCTGAGCGTGGAGCTGTCATTTTGGGACTCGGCTACCAGGGAGAGCATCTGGTGGAGGGAGAGCAATAGGCAGTGAAGCGAGGGCAGGAGAGGGTCTTCATGCCAGGGTGAGCCATAGGTTGCCCAGGCTACTTGCCCCAGATCCCCCTCACCCTCATTCCTGCAGCAGGGGACATCCCCAAGTCCAGTGTTCACCCCACACTCACCTCAAAGATGGTGGGAGTGTACTCGTCGTCAATGGAGCGTGCCGAGCGCAACTTCTGCACCACCCCTATCTCCTCCACCGTGGCCACCTCCAGCACAAATTTGGAGCTGTTGCCCCGCAGAGCCACCCCAGCCAGGACAAACTCCACCTTAGAGCTGTTTCCTGTGTGCAGGAGGCTGGGCAGGGGCCCGTCGCGGCCACTGGCCTCGTAGGCTGTCACCTGCAGGAGACATAGGTCAGAAGAACAGCACGATCACCGGTTGGGACACCCAGGAGAAGGTGCTTTGGACATGATACTCACTGTGTTCCCCCTGTAGCATCCCAGTGCAGTATATACCCCCTCTCTGCCCCTGTGGACTTACCCGAAATGCCAGGCTGCCGTTGGAGAAGCTGCCACTGGGGTCAGTGGCCGGGATGCCTGTGAATTCAGCCGTCAGGGCCGTGTGGTTCAGGGTGTGATTGATGCTGTCCCAGGAAAAGTCGGACAGGTCGTACGTGGGGTAGAAGAGTTCTTCCAGTGTTTTGGCCTCACTGTATTCAAACACCTAGGGAAAAGGAAGGGGAGAGGGGCTGGGAGCCACTAGCAGGTGCTCTGGACACCACCGCTTTGCGCTATGGTCTATGGGCTGCCACGTGCCGGGCTGCCACTGCCACGGAGAGAGGAAGGAGACCAAAAAGGAGCTGCCTTGGCCCAACATCTCAAGGCACCATCACAGCTCAAGCTAGAGACAACCAGGGTAGCACACACAAGGGGCCATTGCACTGCAGGTGGGAAAGCTGCCAACTGACCTTCTCGGCCCCAAGCAACCCCCTGCACCCTAGGGCAGCTCCCCCGGAGCAGGGCCACCTTCCTCAGTGGTACCTTGGTGAAGACAACGGCAGTAGAGTAGACAACACTGCTGGGAGGGTCGATCCAGATGGCACCCGCAGGAGTAGGTGAGAGCAGCTGGGTCCAGTTGATACCCAGGGTGCTGCTCCTGCTCTCCGTAGCCACCAGCAGCACTGTGGGGGCCCCGATACTGCTCCAGATGTAGTGCAGGGTGTCACTAGGTCCCACCGCCCGCACGTGAAGCAGGTTGACAGAGGAGTTGTTCCAGCCAGGGTTGTACTGCATCGACACCTGCAGAGGAAGGTCTCAGGGGGACTCGGTCCTGCCCAGTGCAGAACAATTCCAAATGCACAGCTTCCTGGCAGCAGGCAGCCCCCAGATGAGGGCACGTGATCTGCCTCAGCTTCCCCGTGATCTTTGCAGGCGAGGAAGCCCTGCCATGGCCCAAGTGTTGCTAAACAAGCTCGGTCAGCATTTCACATCCTGTTTCGGAACAGCTTTCCGGCAGCTTCCCTGCCCACAGCCACGGTTCTCCCACTGGATCAGGACACAGTGGGGAGATGAGGGACGGAGGCGCGTGGCACCGGGATGTGTGGCAGCAGGACAGGGGTTGGCGGTACAGGGTCCCCAGGATGGAGGGAGGGGACAGGTTCCCTCCAGCTCCAGCCGAACCCCGGGGTGGGATTTGCTCGGCGCGGGGCACGGAGACCCGAGGAAGCCCCTTCTCCTCCCCAAACCCCACAGCCTTGGGCCACAGTATCGGCATCACCCGCGGTCGGGTCGGATCTCGGGGCGGGGGCTGCAGACAGGCCCCTACTCCGAGCAGGATCAGGCGTCCGAGGCTTCGGGGCGCTCTGGGGGGGAAGGGGGGGGGGGGGGTTACGCGGGGGTCTGGCCCGGTCCCCCACACGGGTCGCAAGCGGAAGCAGCGGGACGAGCCCCAGACCGGCGGCTGGAGACCACGGCGGCGCTCCGAGAC